TACCTGGAAAATTGTTATTAAGAAAGGATGAAATTCAAATATTTAAAAAAATTCATAACTGTAAACGCAAAGAAGGCGTGCAAGATATTCAAACCCTTTTTTGTTCGTTACAATTAATTATGAAAATTATTTGAAAATTCTAATAATCGGGACTATGTTATTTAATGATTTTATTACATAATTATGGCATTTTGAACTATTAATTTAATAAACTATATTTTTTTTATAGGTCTCTTGGTTTGGTCCAAATCTAGTGAATTTATTTTGTAAGTTAGGCTCGAATTATGAAGAAAAAGAAAATGCACATAAATTAAATGATAAAGATAAGTAACTCATAAAATAGTATTTTGAAATTCAAAGTAAAATTAATAATAAAAAATAGTTTAAAAATCTAGGCTCCGGACTTCAACGGTTCCCGTTTCCCGTTTCCTAGTATATATAACCCTAATTATGGTTGATTTACCGATTTTATGAGCACCCCAACTTCGCATGGGCAGGTATTATATATAGAAGGAGTATATGTATTGTAAAACTCCCAGAGTATGTTTTACATAAAAGTATCTAAGTATTATCAGTAATACTAGATTAATATGTGAGGGCACTAAAAACAAGTTTTCTCTCTTCTAACCTAATCAATAGTGACAGGCTAGTTGGTGACGCATAGATTTTTTTCAAGCTGATAAAATCGCAACTCATGTTCCTCATGTAGGATTCAGTAATTATTTAGAAAACTGATATCAACGCTTGTCTTTATTTACGTCAATATTGTAATTTATTAGCAAACATACAAGTAGATACATAAAAAAAGTGTTATTCATTTGCCTGCCTTTTTTACTCTGGTGCTGTGTTATGATGATACCTTATATAAAAAATTTCTAGCAATTACTAAACATTGCAATATAAAGAATCGATCTTTAATACCTCATTACTATATGCTTATTTAGATGGGTATTTATAGAAGCCTTCACCACTTTTACGTCCAAGTTTACCTTCCTTAACAAGATAATCCAAGGCTTTAATCGATGCAACAAGACTATCATCAATTTTTTTAGTTTCTCTCCAACCATCGACAATAGATTTAAGTGTGTCCAATCCAACAAACTGTTAATTATAATAATTTAATAATCATTCAAATGCTATACTTACAAATAATTATAATAAAGATATTCACGTACATCGGATAGTTCAAAAGGCCCCATTGGCATACCGGCTCCCAACTTCATGGCCGTATCAATGTCTTTGCACGTAGCATCACCACGTTCATAAAGACGAATGGCTTCCAATAAGTAAGGAACAAGAAGACGGTTGACGATGAATCTTAAAAATTGTTTAGGATAAATAAATGATTAAATTAAAACATAAGCTTACTTGAAAAAACAATATTCACAAGTTATTAACTTTTATTATTATTACCCAGGAGTATCCTTGCATGTTACCGGTGTTTTCTGCATTTTTTTCGAAACTTCCATCAAGCTTTCATATGTCTCATCACTAGTCTTTTCAGTTTTAATAACTTCCACTAGTTTCATTCTTGGTACAGGATTGAAAAAGTGCAAACCGGCAAATTTATCCTCTCTTTTCGTTATCTTTGCGATTTCTACAATTGGTAGACTTGAAGTATTTGATGCAAATATAGCAGATTGAGGTGCAGCACTATCTAAAGTTCTAAATAAATCTTGTTTTTTTTGAATATTCTCTACAATGGCTTCAATTATCAAATCTGCATTTTCTGCGCCTTTAGAAGAATCAGTACTAGTTTGTATATTCGATAGAGTAGACTCGATTGCTTCTTTTTGTTTGTTTGCATCATCTTTGAACTGCCTTTTCAGAGAAGTTTTGATAATATTTATCCCTTTTTCTATATAAGATTCTTCGATATCCACCATAGTAACTTTGAACCCATTTTGTGCAGCCACTTGCACAATACCCGCTCCCATTAAACCGGAACCATAAACGGTAATGTTTTGGATATCTCGAGGTGAAGAAGTGGAAAAGGCATTAGACGCGATTAAAGGGCGAAGGAAATTCTTGGTAGAATATCGTGTAGAGAATTGGCACGCTGAACGAAAAAGTTGAGACATAGTGAATTGATATAGATAAAGTTTGATTTAAAATTATCTATTTTATCAGATCTGCGATACACAAGATTCTAATGCAACCAGAAGAATGGCTTGCATAAAGTGCATGCACAAACCCAAAAAAGAAAAAAGCCAATCAAAGGTTGTAAATGGCCCAACACGTGCGCAAAGCGAGAAAAAAATCACAATAAAATAAGTCTTTAAACAAGTGTTTAAATATATTTGTAGTACCAAAGTGACTGAGATGAAGTTTTACATATAGATATCAATTATTTCTAAAACTTCAAACCCTTAAACTAATCCTGAGGCCTTAAAAAAAAATCTATTTTTCTTTTTTGAGTTGTATTACTCGCAGAAATACCATATAATGCTGCCTATGGTACCTCCGTCATATTCAAAAAATCCAAACTAACTTGAATAGATATCGTGTAAGAAAGAAGAAACAATGCTATAAATCGCAATATGCTTAAGAATATGACTTGCGGTGATATTCCACTGTATGAAGGGTTACTATTTTATGCTTTATCAAAGGGATACTGTAGACAGCGCCGTACGGTAAGTATTTCAGTATCAAGACGCGTTCGATCTGAACAATCTGAGAAATCAAAAAGTGGTATTACTGTATTACGTAGTAAAAAGTTTCGAGAAGTAAAATTTACCTATTACGGTTCTAACCGAACACAATGTATAGTAACACAAGCAAATACAAATATAAAAGTATAAATGGTAGATCAATGTCCATGGGAAATTTTCTTTAATATTTCGCCATTGAAAATTTGACAGAAGAAATCAATTAACCATGCAACGACAACCAAAATGGAGTAAGGTTTTTAAATAATTCTCAGCTATTAGAAATCATTTGGATTAATTCTAATTCATTAATCTGTCATATATTGTATTAGACATTGCAGACACTAATATTGCAAATTTTGGATCAAAAATTGAGAAAGATGCCCATTACCAGGCTGGTGCGAAAGAACAAGCATGGGCTGATCCTAAAACGAAGGTTGGAATTGAGCCGTTAGTATAATTATATTTATAAATGAAATATTTCATGTTGAAATATTCGAATTATTTTATTTTATTTTATTTTATTTTTTTGATAGCGGTCTTTGGATATGGCGCATCGAAAAATTTACTGTGAAACCTTGGCCAAAAGAGAAATATGGTCGCTTTTATTCTGGTATAGCATTAACCGCATTTACATGTTTACGTTAAATAAAATTATGCATACTTGTTATTTTATATGCGTTTATTATATACTTATAGGCGACAGTTATATTGTTCTTCATGTGAGTAATAAAAAAAAAAAAACACTTTTTTCTGTGTTTAATAAATTGACATTTACGTATATATTTTTTTTGCAACATTAAAAAGTCCTATAAGAAAAATAAAAATACCGAAGTTTTATCACATGATATTCATTTTTGGCTTGGGTTAGAGAGTAGTCAGGTAAGCAACTAATCATTCCGCTATAATATTTATTGTTATTCAATAATGTATTGGAATATTATGAAAGGACGAAGTTGGAACTGCGGCTTATAAGACGGTGGAATTGGATGATTGTAAGTTATATTGTTCTAATCTGAGTTGAGATTGCTTCGATTAATTTTTTAATTTACTTTGACTTACAAAAAGTTCTTGGAACTTCACCGGTTCAACATCGTGAGGTAATTATCCTGTATATTACCCTACTTTTTATATTTATATAGTATTTCTTACCGAGATTCTCACAATAAATAGGTTCAAGACTGCGAGTCCAATCTTTTCTTATCTTATTTCAAAAAATTCCATGTAGAAGAAGGAGGTGTCGACAGTGGCTTTAGACATAATGCATCCCATGAATATCGTCATCGACTTTTGAAAGTCAAACTAATTGGTCATACAATTGTAATTCGTGAAGTTCCAAAGGACTACAAATCGCTTAATTCTGGAGATGTTTTCGTAATGGACATTGGAACTACTCTATATCAATTGAATGGTAAAAATTCTCAAGGCGTTGAAAAGGTTAAAGCTGCCGAATTCTGTCAGGCTACTATAAGTGATAGGAACGGGCAGGCTAATGTTGTTGTTATTGGTAAGCCCAATCTTATAAGTAATTATTTGATAATAAAATAAGATAGTTTATATTAATAGTTCTTTTTGTTAAAAGACGAAGGGGATATAGAAATGAACAAATTCTGGAAAGCACTTGGAAGTGAAGGACCCATCAAATCTGCAGCTGAAGATACTGGTGCGGACATTTCTAATGTTCCAAAGAAATTATTCAGGTAATTAAGTATTGAATAATTACACTTTAAGTATGGTGAAACAATTATAATAGTGTTTTTTGCCATACAGCTATAATTAATATATGTTCAATTTTATTGTCAAGAATTGATGCGCCGTATATATACGTGCATTTCAGATTAATGAGTCATTTTTTATGTTTTAATTGATAGAGTAAGTGATGCCTCGGGAACATTGAAATTTACCGAAGAAGCGGCCAGTATTATCAAAAAAAAACATTTCGATACCAATGACGTATTTGTATTTGATGCAGGACATGAAGGTTTGTATCTTACATCAAATTTTATATTGTAGTCGCGAATAATTAATTGCTAAATTTTACAAATATAATAGTTTTTGTCTGGATTGGTCTCAAATCCACAATCACGGAAAAAAAATATTCTTTGCATTATGCTCAGGTATGTATAAATGAAAATTTTAAATAATTAGTATTTCATAATTCTAACCTTTTTGGTATAACAGGAATATATTAAAAAACATAATCGTCCATTATTTACTCCAATCACTCGTGTCATGGAAGGTGGTGAAAATGATGTTTTCACACAATGTTTGGATGTATAATTGACTTTCTAAAAATTTTAATTTCAAAGTTTCATATATATTTATTTCTTTCAGAAATGTTTATTTTGATTAAAATTTATTGCAAATAAAATTTGTTGGGCTATTTAACCTAATAATGAAAAATTTTGTTAATAAAAGGAGCTACATACCATTTGATTTGTAACTTAGTATTTTTCTATCGTTCATAATTTGTTTTTCTTGAAATTTTATATTAAGTATAAAATTATAGTAGTAAGTGTGAATCACTTCTTTATGTGAATCTATATTCATCAAGTACATCAATTAATAAAAGAATTTTTTAGGTCATGTATTTAAGGAGAAATTCGCAATATATGTGAATGATTAGAAAAGAAAGTTCAAAGTATTAGATATTCACAAACAGCGTTATTATAAGTTTAAGAGAAAGGTTCGATCAACTAATTACTGTAAACAAAATTTTATCAACATTTGAAAGCATGACCAACAAACATTATCTTTTTTTTAATTATCAATACCTAAATTTCCGATACCAAATCGTCTTAAAAGTTCTCTTTCAATTTGTGGATAAATTTCATCACTTGTACGACCGTGAAAAGTAATTAATATATTACGTTTCGCATAATATTCTAATAACGGTTCAGTTAAAGATCTATGTTTTTGAAGACGAATCTTAAATGTCTCCTTTATTAACAAATATATAATTAGTGTGATAATTATGAATGAGTTCACGTGAAAATAAACTTACAGGATTATCATCAGAACGTTTTGTCAGTTTTTCTCCAGTAATGTCATCAAGACCATTTATTTTTGGAGGATTATAACTTAGGTTATAAACACGTCCAGATGGTACATGTACCCATCGATCTAAAATAACTATTTATTAAATATTCTACTATAACATTGTGAAAAAAAACCAAAATTTTCACATACCCATGATTCGTTGTAATATTACTTCTTCCGGTACATTTAGATTGATTACTAAATTTAATGATCGGTCTGTCATGGCCATTCTATCATCCAGAGCTATAGCTTGATTAATAGTTCGAGGGAAGCCATCCAGCAACCAATTCTTTTTATTACATGTTAGATGCATTAATACACATTAAACTGTAATAAAAGCACCAATTCTTTATAGGAAAATACCTGTTGTTTGTTCTGAAGCTCTTTCGTAATGAGCTCAATCATAATATCATCCGATACATAGGCTATTTACTCAAACATAAAAAAGAAAGAAAATTTAAATAACACTGTAAAAAAAATTATACCATTTATTACCGTGGCCACTGCTTACAGTACCCCGAGTCTTACTCAAGAATTACACTTTAAAATTGAATAATACCCGTAGGTACTGTGAAAAACCGGTACTATATTCGGGGATGTATCACATTAAAAGTAGTAAATCAATATAGTTGTTCACTCGGGTCTTATTCAAGGAGTAGTACCCGAGTCTTAATCATGGGGTACTATTTTGAGGGGATACTGTAAACAGTGGCCAATGATATATTACATTATATAAAATTATACCATTAGAAATGATTTTTTGCTTTTTCACTCTTGTTTTAGATCCGATCCCGCGATTAAGTTACGTGAAACACTGACTCACCTCCACGTTCGATTTCTCTGGCAGCAATTTTACCAATTTTTGTTCCGCGAGCTATATTTTGACGAAGGATATCACCACTCGATATAACTGAAACATTGAATTTTTTTTGTATGCGAGAAGACTGAGTTCCTTTACCCGAACCCTTGATAAATTACGAAAAAAAAAACTGTAATAAATTTTATATAATGAATTTAGATATTTTTCATTGTCAAGCAAGCAGCATACCGGACTGCCAAGTAGTAACAATCTCATGAGTAACCCCTCTCTCATAGATAAACTGTTCACATAATTAGAGTCATGAAACAGTTTGCTTAAACCCAAAGGAACATGAATAGGCTTAAACCAGCCACCTGGTTGTTTATTCAAAACATGATAACTTCTTAGAAAATGCATTGTCGTTGGGTAACTGATGAGAAATTTTATTTATACCATTATAAGAATAGATAACCCGTTACCCTTATTTATCATATGAAATATAAACTTTAATTTTAAATTTAATCATGTGAGCGTGTTTTATTACCGTTTTTGTTATAAGTAACTGGTCAAAATTGGTCATAACACTAGTCTAATTTTGTGCATAACGATAATCAATATACAGATATAACGCTTAGGTACGTAGAAGTATTTGATACATACTGGTTGCAAGCTCTGGACAAATAGTATTTGCAAGTATATATTTTGGATGAAAAGACCAGTAAAGAAAGATTCGATCTTTCGCCTATACCATTGCGAATTTTGAAACTTTTTTTCTTTCTTTTTCGAAGATGGTCTTGATAATTTTTACATTAATTGGGATATGCTCCCTAATTTTATCATTAACTAAAGCATTGGATGCATCCTCATTATTGATTGCCTGTAAAATCATATTATAAGATATATCCTTTCCCGAAATAATAATAATATTTCTTTAGCTTTCCACTTCATTTGGGAAGATTAGTTGAATTTATGACCGTTTCAGGGATCTGACTGCAAAGCAATAGTATTTTTTTTTATATAGGAAAATCACCTTTATTTATTTCATTCTTGACTTTTTTTACTGAAAATTTTTTGGTGGAATCACCATCGCGCTCCTTTGGGAGGTGTTTCGTATATCAGAGGATCCTTAAATATCGATGTTTCTGAGAGATACTGTCAACAACATATTCTATCTCCTTTAAACAATCAGGTATCGGGCATTTTGAGCTAATTTCGATGGAACTTTGATCTTAATTTCGAAGCAAATACGAGGTCAGTATGTTAACCTTTTTTTTTAGTTTCATTCAATATAATTGCCGGAAACAATACCCTCACAAGTGTGGATCTAGTACGTACTGTATTTTCGCGTAATAACTTTACCTGCGTGTTATTTTGCCATGTGTGTTATTCAAGTACGTACGTACGTACGCGCATGTGCGTTATTTTGAGTTAAGGCTAATTGTCCGACATATACATAATTAGCTAATTTACGTTGATCAAACATGCGCGTTAGCGCGCATGGGCATCATTTCGAAGCCATGCATGTTATTCTCGGGCGATGTAATTTTTAACTCTCATAAGTTATGCACAAAAATACGTTAAGTTTTATTTTCTTATCTGTTATTATTCAAATACGAACGAACCTAAATACTTATTTGACTATATCGATATACGTAAATGGGACAAAACTGAATATACTATTTCAGATCTGCCAAAGGAGATAATTATTGAACAAAAAATCTTGGGCTACGTTATAGAAACAGCATTAAAACATTGTTATGCATTTTCTATGAAAGACAAACATTAGTATAAATCTAGAGAAACTTAATGTATATAATCCTAGATGTTTACTTGTCATATTCCGCCGAGATATCACTAGAACCAATGATTGCCAATATGTGTGATAAGTATAGGAAGCATTCATTCAAAAGCCTAGGTAAAATCTTCAAGACATAGGTTAAAGACAAATGGGGTCTTTGCCTTGAAAATCGAGTTACGGAACATAGTAAATTATATGTTCCATACTTGATTTTCAAGGCAAAGACCCCAAATTTTAAATATAAAGTGTTTTTTTTTCCAGAAATTTAGATTATGTACTAATCTATACAGTTAGTATTAGACATCTTTAAAATCCGATTATTTGATTAGAACTAGTAAAATTTCATAAGCTCGACATGTCAATTTATAAATAAAATTGATCTAATTGTCCAGCATTTACTGTAAATTCTCAAATAGTGGGTATGGGCGTTATTTCGAAAACGCGCCCCCTAGAATAGCATAGTTTCGAAAAAACTCTTATGCAATCGGGTTTTGAAATTGACCATTTATCTCGAAATAACGCACATGGCATATTCAAAATAACGCGCAGGCAATTTAATATGACAAGGTGAAACACGCGCTGAATTATGCAGAATACATAAGTGTGAAATCCGCGTTAATATATAAAGCACTATGCTAACGAGGATTTCACCCTAACCCATGATCAAAGCGGGCTTTACTAGAATTCAGCGCGGGTTTTACTCTTATATATTAAACTAACGTGCAGCCGTTACTTCGAGAATTCAGTAAATATGGTAATAATATATGGATCATTAGCTTTGATAAAATCAGTTTTGGAAGATTATTGTACTTTTCAAAATGTAAAAATCTTTCATATTCATTCTGATTTATTGGGAGGTTTCAAAATTAACTTATTTCGAAAATAAGTGGAGTTTAAAAGATCATATGTTCTGTTTTAAAATTCCGAATCAGAAATTAAATATGATAAAATAAGCTTCCTTTTAAATAGATACGTCACTGAAATCTGACGTCGAATCATTAATTCTAAGCCCTCATTATAAAAATTGTAGGCCAATCTGGAGAATTTAAATCAGAAATACTTTACAATCACAAACTTTTCTAAGCACATTTAGAGAAAACTCAGATGGCAAGACTCTAAAAGGGATATCCTTGTTTAGTAATTTAATATCAGATATAACTATGCACTATATAATTACTTATCTTTTTAATTTATAAATGTAGATGTTAAATTCTCAAATAAAAAGATTATTAAATATCAACGTATTTAATAATAGTTGTATTCTATATATTTCTAAATGCTAGAACGTGATCATAGAATATATGGGAGCTACAAGATTTTTTCTACCATTTAAATCTGCTAATTCAATCAAAAAAATATATTTTAAAAGTTTCCCACCGCTTTTTTCCACAAGTTGTCCAGCCGCCGCAGCCGTGCCTCCTATCAAACACAATAACGCAAGGGAGTTTAAGCGCATTCTTTTTTACTAAATTAAAAGTAAGAAAAACCACACGAACCTGTAGCAATTAAATCATCTACAATAATTACATTTTGACCAGGTTTAATTGCATCCACTTGCATTTCAAATGTGTCCTTATAATTTGTATTATAATAAGAGTCTTGTTAACACCACCTCCCATTTTTGTTAATGGCACCCCCAAATATAAAAGGTGCTCCGGAAAAGGTATTTATATTAAGTAAATCCTTCTTTTGATCTTAATAAAAGTTGTTCATCAGGCCTTTCCATTTAAATTGGGCTGTAGTTTTTTTAAAGTAAATAAAGTTAACTAACTTCGGATATATATTTCTTAGGAACTACTGGTCCGATTTTAATGATTTTAC